ACAATGAGTCGAATTCCATTGCATAAATCTTGAGAAACATCGAGATTACGAAGAAGCATCACAATTGCACCAATCTTTAGTTTAAGTTTATGAGGAGGCATTCCTGATGATCCTCTGAAAACATTTAGGACAAGATTCCAATGACATACACTAAACTTAAACTGCACTTTCATCTCAGAAATACGAACTAATTTCGGTTTAATGTAGTTTTAGTTAAAATAACTGAAATCGTATAACATTGAGTATGATTAACAACGGCTTCAATTGAAAGAAATGTAAATCAGTATACTGATAATAATATTGAAAAATGTATGCAGAGTGATTGTTCGTAAAAACACGTGTGTAAACATTTCAATAGTATATACATTTACACACTTGGGTAACGACAGCTGGTAAGAAACAGAAAAGGAAAAGAAATGATTTAGTTACATTTGTATTAGCATAGACCGAGAGTGATGAATCAACTTGTCTAATGAAGGATGCAAATAGATTGACATAAGATTTATAGCGCAGAAACAACATGATGGAAAGAACTCGATTTGTTATCGTTATACTCTATCGAGAAAAAAATGAGAAGATTGTTAAATATCTTCACATTTTTACTAATATTTAAATCTGATTTGATTGATAGTATTGTTTTTGTTGAATTCAAATCCAATCATTTTGTTATTTTTCACTTATGGATTTTATTGTATTATGACTAATTATGGAACACCTCTTGAAGAAATAATAGATCAAAACTTTGGTTATTCACATGAACATCGTTGATGTCGTATTCAAATTTACGTGAATTACATTAATTAACATAGTTGTTTTCTTAACTAAACTTATTCACAATAAAAGATGCAGAGAGAGAGAGAGAGAGAACAAGTGATGCTGACAACATTTGTGAATGAACCTCAAACTGGTGAAATTAAAACCAGTCATGTTGTTGAATATGTGTATAAAAGTCAAATCCAATTTCTTGAAAAATATCATCGATGACTATTGGATGCTCCTTCTTAGCGACGGTAAAAGTTTACGTAAGTTATTTGAGAGTGACGAGTCATGTATGTTGGACGTCAGAGTAGATGAAGCTTTACAAAACTAATTAGGACTATCTATTTGATTTTCATATAATTTGATGAAATAGAAGACAAACTTTCTAAATAGATCGATTTTCCTATGTTACGATATGTTCACATAACTGGAAAAAAATATAGGACATTTTGAAATTATGTGATCAGCTCGTCAAGCTCGACAAACTCAGAAAGTTTGAGTCAATATTGAGAAATTCGATGTCGATGTGTTCTGTTTTCCATCGATCGAACCAAGAAAAATCATCTGACATTCATTTCGTGATAATATCATCACATTGAGTGACAAATTAGGAAAAAACCGCCAGGAATGATCACTTCGATATTTTAAAGATAAAGAATTTTTCAATCAGTGCCAAGTTTGACTATCTCATTTAAAGAAAAACAGTCAACAATGACAGCAATCTTATCAACAACACGAAGTTCGACAAAGATTAATCAAGAAACGATATCGAAAAGCAATGACTAAAAGTTTCATTTTTTTCTTATTTCGTAAAAAGACAAAACGTTGTATAAGTTCCTGTGAGTGAGAATCCATGACATCTTATTTCCCGGTACATTTCAGATATCTGACTTTGATCTTAACTTCCTTGACTTGTTTTTCTTTTAAATCTTGCGAATAATTTCTGATATCACATGAGAAAATATCATAATTATATCTTCAATCAGAAAAATAAATCTTGTTTATTTTCTTCAAATTCTAGAATGAGCATGAGAAATATGACAAACTCTTTGATAGGTTTCGTTGCTCATCTGATTATTATATATCACGGAGAATTTTGTCTCATAATTTATAATTTTCGTGTACATGCTTCCCCTGACATTTCTTATTTTCTTTCTTCATTTGAACAGTAGATGCTTTTCAGCTGACAGTCGTAGTCTTATCTCTACTTGGCGTAGTTTGCATAATATTGATCTATTTGTGATCATCTTCCCGTTGGTAGCACATCTGTTGTATCAATGTTATTTTCGATCGTTTACATTATCAATTATATTTATGCTCTTTTTCTCAATTCAGACATAAATAATGCCACTTGTCGATTTCGTTGTTTTTTATTTATGTGCCAAATTGGACAATTGGTCGATTCATATATGATTCAATTCAATCGATCTCATGTTTCTTTTTCTCGATTTTATCGGCAAAATATCCATGATTAACAACATATTTCGAACACATTATCTGCTGGTCTTTGTTCAATGGACCGTAGTTTTAATTACTACATTACCTGTTATCGTGCTGGATACTGCTCGATTCTCCTTATAGAACTCTTTGTTGATTGACTCCACGATATAAAACGATTAGTATTTATCTTCCAATTGTTAATTTTTATACTCCATTTATAGTAGTTATTTCCCTTTATGCTTATATTTTCTATCGAGTTCGTCAAGCGAATGGAAATACAACTACAATGAGGAATTCAATCCATAGCCAATAACGAGACCTGAAAGTTCTTCGAAATTTGATAATTATCATTAGTATTGGTGTCATTGGCATATTTCCAGCTCTTTATTTAATATTTATGCATATGTTAGATCTTTTGCGGTGAAATTATTTCTTTGCTTCTCAAAAAAGCGTTCCTTTTGCTGCGCGGAAACCTTTTTGTTAAATATATATATATTTTTTTTTAAATCCGAAAAACTTCGTGCTTTTTTATTATAATAAAAGTTCTATTGCAAAACGAAAACATCTCCGATAAAATATGCGAGATGAACTGATGAATTAATCGATTATGTTTTACTTTAATTAGTTGATAAGACTATAGACAACAATATCTTCCCGTTATTGAAGATATTGGTATATTCTCTTCATCATTCTAATCAACACAATAAAATAAAATATCCTTTTTTAGCAAAAAATATGTAGCATATTGTTGCACATAATTTATTTCAACATTACGACTGTATTCAGTATTTGCAGCTAATATTCATACACATCTGGTATTATTTTATAAGAAAACTTTAGCTTGCAGCTTATTAATTCATTTTATTTTGTGCGTGACTTCAATGTTGTTGTTTTTTGTTGTAAATATTATAATAAACATATCGCTTTGACGCAATTACATAGGTAGAAAAAATTTATTTCTTGATAAGCACTGTTTCTCAGTAGAATACGTTAGTTTCTCCATTAAATTTGTTGCTTCACTGGTAAGAAATGAGTTATTGTTGTTGTTTTTTACTTATATAAAAATACCCAATGAAGTTTTATAAATTGTGAGAATAACAAAGATGATTGATTGAAATTATTTTTCATATTAAAATCAATATTAATTTTTGCAAGTTTATCGATGAAAATAGTTCGACTGTGCAAGAGACACAACTCGAGATCAGAACGAATCCTGTAGAACCTCATGAAACACAGTCCCTTATTTTCGTTACATTGTATTCAAGAGTCGAATATCTTTGTTCACAGTCTTAAATGAAGCAATAACTATACATTGTATTGATAGTTTTTTTAGTTATTGTAAGATAGATTGAAAAATATTTCGATAATGGTACAAGAAGCCAATACACCACCAGTACACAATAATGATAATAATGTATGATGGAAAATGTCATTTATAGAAATGTGTTTAATCTTGATTCATTTTAGACTACAATAGTAACATCGTCAGCAACGTAAGTTTTCTACATTGAATGAAAAAAAGAGAAACAGTTTTATTATTTAGAAGCACTGTCTGTGGGATCAAAAAGAAATTGTGCCTAGTTTTAATTCCTCTTACTGTTTTGATAATTACAATAATTATCATAGTAACAGCCATATTTTTAAAAAAATATGCAGCCAATAAAGAATCATCATTAACTACAATGATAGAACCAAAGCCAAGTAAGATTTCTTGATGATTAAATTATTTGAAAACAAAAGCTTTATTAATTTATAATAACAGCAGATACGTCGTGCACTGGCGTACTATAGAGAACAGGCGTTCATTCCAAAAGAGAACTTAACAGAGATCGTATTTGAATGTTACGAGTAGCTATGTACGAGACCAGTGAACGAAAACTTGTTATTCTATTTTTATGATTACTACTAAATTGACCAAAGTAGTAGATTTTAAGTATTTTCTCTCCGATTGAGATCAAAACTACGCTGGAATCGGTACCAAAAAAAAGTTGAGCCTGTACATCTCTAATTACGAGTCATTCTCAGTTTTGATCATTCTTTGCTATCTGGAAGTCACTGGACAAGAGTGATGACTGACCCTACGCGACGAGAGATTCCAAACTTTTGGTATATCCTCCTGATAGTCCTGAGTGAATAGACTTTGGGGGAAAAGTTTAAGTAAATTCGATCGCGCTGATTTGGAATAGGTCTATTTAAATATGAATTCCTGTCATGTTCTCCTATGATCTGCTCGAGCGGATTCATCGAAGGATATCTAAAATTGGCAAAAGAGCTTTGGGATCTGCAATAGAACGGTGTCGAGTAATAGTTTTGTCTAATGATTCATGTCAACTGTTCTAAGTGTTATTGGATAAGCAGATGTACATTGGGAAATAAATCTGAAATTCTGAGTGGATCGTATTCTTTCACTTGTCAGCGAATAGAGCTGACAATGAGGAAATGAAGGCAATAAATTTGCATATAGTCACGAAATAATTCCAATTTTATATAGTTAAAGTATATACAAAATCCGAATTATTTTGTAATTCATTTCAACATGCACTAGAATGAAATATTGTACTCTACAAGATGATATATGGGCTATACGAAACTGATAATCCAATTGAGCAGCTCTGTATGGCAGTGAATCGTGGTTCCTATGCAGTGCCTCCTTTACACATAATAGTTCAAAGATCAAACTAAGTAGACAGTCCAATTCATCCATATTCTAAGTCATTCCCCTTTTTTCTAGAAGTAGAAAATAAAAAATATCTTTTAGGGTGATTACATATTGATAATATTAATTTGACGTTTTAATAGCTTTACTTAATATAACATATGTGGCACAAGAAACCTTGTCTACTATCAAAAGCGCAAGCTTTCTGTCGGCTGCTGATGTTAATTGTGACAATAAAACTGATATCATTCTCACTTATTATGATGAAGATAGAATCCGTATTTTTCTCAATATCGGTAATGGTCAGTTTAACCCTTCACCGATCATATATAAAAATGGTTTTGTACCAGACATTATAACAATAGCTGATGTCAATGATGATAAACAACCTGACATGATTGTTACTAATCCCAAAGACTATTCTATCAGTGTATTTCTTAGTACAGATTATTGCATGTTTGCTCAACGAAAGACTTACTCAACTGTTAAAGAACCGAGATATCCTACGGTAGTTGATATTAATAATGATCATAAACCTGATATTATTATTGAATTCGAAGTCCCATGGAAATTCGGTATTTTTTTAAATAAAGGCAGCGGTAGTTTTACTCCTGTAATGGAATATTTCAAAACATTCGAGCCATTTCAAAATGTAGCTTTTGATATAAATAGTGATGCCAAAATCGATATTATTCACTATTCCAGTGGCTATAACCAGGTTTTTTTGAACAAAGATGAGACTAGGTTTATTAGTTTGAAACAGAATTTTTACTCTCCTCGTTGGCACGGTAACGCAGTAGCTGACGTGAATGGCGACGGCAAACTTGACATTATTGCACCAAGTATACATATGGCTAATTATGGAAAATTCTCTATTGTTCTCAATACAGGCAATAATAGCTTTACTTCAAACACAACATATTCACCAGAACTCTATAAATTCCATGATTTTTATCACATAACTGCTGCTGTTGATATAAATAACGACGACAAACTCGATATTATTACTTTGGATTATTACAAAAATAATGTTATTATTTTCTTCAATGAAGGAAATAGCATACTCACCAAGCAAATAACGTATTCAACTAGCAACTACCCAAAACAAGTCGTAGTGACCGATTTAAATAATGATGGTATACCAGACATCCTGGTTAGAAGTCAAACAAACTGTACTGTTAATATTCTCTTAGCTTATTCCAACTGATTTTCAGATTTTACTTCAATTATTCAAATTACATGTATATTGCTCTTTCTTTTGTTACTATCAGTATTTGTGTTCCCGTTTCTCTGTGTAAAAAGGAAGTAAAATGTGAGTGTTAAAATTTTCCTTATTTTTCAATTATAAATTCATATCTATATGAACAAAATCTATTCTATGTATTTTCTTCTAGATAATGTCTAAATTATGAACTATTTTGAAACATATCAAGGCATCGATGGAAAATTAAGTTTTCAAGACACGTTATCGTTTCGACATTCAATAATTAAGAATTCGGTTCAGGAGAAAACTAGCTTATTTCTGTTAAAATTTATTCTGCTAAAAATGAACAAATACACATACACACACTAAACAACAAGCCGTATGTTATTTGGCCTTTTAGTAATCATTTTCTTCTATTTGTAGATAATGTCATCTTTGAAAAAGTATCTTTCAAATTTAAATTTTTTCGAACCTTCTCCAGAAAGTAATGCAGGAGAAGACGAACATCAAAGACGTACCAATATTATTTCTACGCGAGTGTATCTCTTAACTCTCATTCTACTTCTCCTTTTGTATGCCGTTGTTCTATATTATATCCCTTTGACAACAACAATCACAATTCAATATCCAACGAAAGAACAATTTGAAGAACTTCCCTCAGATGTAAATTGTCCTTGTTCTCATATTTCTATATCACACGGTGAATTTACTTCAATTGAAGCACATTTTCATCAAGTTTGTGCTAGTGATTTTGTATCCGATCGTTGGATTAATGCTACATTTCTTGGTTCAAATGCAACTTATTTTCATATCCGTGACTTTCGAAGCTTTGCTAGTGCCCAATTTCAAGGTCTTGCAAGTTTGTGTCGTCTTTCGAAATCTAGTTTTCAACAAAGTATTTCTTCATTCAATCAGAAAACGCTTATTAGTCCAAAAGTTTTAACCGAAATTGCCTTACGACCGTTAATACAGTCGTCTATTGATCAATTAAAATTGTCAATATCAAGTGCCCTTGTACTTCAACTACAAACAATTCGCGAATTAACAGCTAGTAACAGATTAATGTCAGGTCTAATGACAGACACCCGTCTGGAATATGTGGTAGGTAACAATCGTCCTACATATATAGCACCGGCAATGGTCTATGGAAATTGCCCTTGTTCTGCTATCAAGGATTGTACACAGTCTAGGCCAATCGGGATATACAATATATTTTCGCCATATGCACGACGCGTTTGGGGGTTTTTTTCCGAACAGGAGCAGTTGATAATGAAAGTTCCCGGCATAGAAACAGGTTGTTATCCATTAAATTCTATTCTTGAATCTTCACTCGAATGTTTCTATGATCAAACATGTGTGAATAACGTATCATCATATTTTCCTACAAAAGAAACATTTACAGCAATGACAATATCTCAGACTAGTCGTTTCTCTGATAAATCATCAGTTCAATCAATTGTTGATTATTTGATGATAGAAAACTGGTATACCAATATTACTTATGAAAAATATTACAATAAATGTATACCAATGACATGTACTTATTCGACAGTAAAATCTAATCATGTCTCAGTCATAGTAACAAAATGTATTGGTATGCTATCTACTTTAACAATGGTATTGAAATTATTGATACCAACAATTATTCGATGGATACGACGACCTCGAAATGTTGAACCAACTCCAGAGATTCCTCGTAAGTAGATTTCACTAAATATTACTGTAAAAAGAAAATTTGTTCATGTAATTTTTCAATGAATTAATAATATAATGATAATCATTCAGAAGAAATCCTTCTAATCCTACGATTTGTTTTAGTCAAAATCAAATTTCAACAACTAAAAGGAACACTACACAAAACTCTTAATGAATTGAATATTTTTGAACGCTCATTAAATGATAACTATCAAATACGTTATCAACGTTATGCTACTCGTTTATATATTATTTTGATCTTTATATCGGTTTTTATATTTACTACGAATAACTTCTTCAACATAGTTATGCACCATTCAACTGTTCTCAATCCAACTGAATCTCAATATCTGACATTACAAAGAAATTATTTAAGTAGTCTTTCATGTCCATGCAGTTCTATTTCAATGTCCTACTCAACTTTTCTTAAGATAGAACCGCAATACCATCATATATGTTTCAGTGATATAGTTTCTTCTAAATGGATTCATAGGTTCCATGGAAAATCCAGTATTCCTGGCTCTCTATCCCCCATGGATTATCATGAAAATGCTAATGTTCAATTTCAATATCTTGCAAATTTTTGTCATCGAATTCGACACTTAATTGATGATGCTACTCTAGACTTTCTTAATGATCAATTTGTGAGTTCAACAATTCTTTCTCCCAATATTTTCGAAGCTCAAATAAAATTACTTTTTGAAGATTGGAAATCAACTATTAAAAATCAAATTCTACGTACTATAGATATTATTCGAGCAACAACACATGGAAATCAGTTGATAAGTCCTTGGCTCAATACAAATTTTTCGTTTAGCTATGCTAATAGAGAAATAAAATTAGTACCAATGAAATATTCCAACTGTTCCTGTGCGTTATCACCCTTATGTCGGACGGACATGGGTTTGTATGATACTCATGTCCAAGGCTATTATTATACTATTCGTACTCTCATTCCAAAAATGTTCATTGGTTGTTATCCGAATGAAGCTTTGTTAGCGTCAACATTAGAATGTTTTTATAATATTTCATGCACGTTACCCTTGTATCCTAGCATATATGATCTCGGAATACGATTTGATTTGCCATTACTCAAAACCAATGCAAGCATTAGTTCACCGGATGAAACCATCAGATCAATAATTGATCAACTAATGATTAAGGAATGGTCAACCAATATCTCTTTTACTGCATACTACCAAAAATGTGCTCCTCATTCATGTACATTTCAATACTTCGATCGAAATAGCGCGATCGTTGTTATCACAACTATCATGAGTATTACTGGTGGATTAACACTTGGATTGAAGATTTTCCTCATGATAAGTCTTCTGATCATTGAAAAATTCAAAAGTATTTTATCTCCTATTACTTTAATACGATCTATCAAGAATCAATTCAATTGTCGTAATGAACAACAAATAATTGATCGACTACATTTTATATTCGTGATAATCACTCTGAGTAGCATTTATCTTTCCACTACTTTTATTCCACAAACAAGATTGGATGAGTTTCAGAATTCGTCATTGCCTACTTATCAAGAATTACAAACACGCTTTTCTGACACTCTTCAATGCCCATGTTCAGATGTCTCAATCGAAAATGAATTATTTTTTAATATTACAGTTCGCTTTCATCAAATATGCTCAAGTGACTTTGTTTCTGATCCTTGGATTGAATATTTATATAACAATGGTACCATTTTTGATCAATTTATCGCAACTGATTTTCGAGCTTCAGCCTTTGCACAATTTCAATTGCTTTCCTCACTTTGTAAACTTTCTCAACAAATAGTGAAAGACTCACTTCTACAGCTAAGAAAACGTACTTTCGTCAATAGCAAACTCCTATCACCGAAACAACTAGATGAAATCATTCAATCTACTCTCAATCATTTTAATTTAACAGTACCTGGCATATTGTTAAATGCTCTAGCTCTCATTCGTGAAACAACTGAAGTTAATAAGATTATTACAGCTATATCAACTAATTGGCATATTTTGCCACGATCAGGCGCCATCATCGGTCAACAAATAGTTCATCCAGTACCACTCATCTATCAAGGATGCAATTGTGGATTGTCATCAAAATGTACACAGCCTTCTGGAGGTATGCTAGCTGGTTGTTATCCACTTGAAGCTCTCTTACAATCAACATTTCAATGTTTATACGATCAGGATTGTATTGATTCAAGTCGAACTTTTAAAGCATTGAGTATTTCTTCTTTAGAATCGAGTCGTTTCAATATTAATATGACTATGGAATCGATTGTTAATCAATCTTTTATAGAAGAATATACAAGCAATAGATCCTATGAGAAATATTTCGCTGAATGTGCAATATCATCATGTAGATATTCGTATATCGATAAGGCGAATATTGATGATGGAATAACTCTTCTGATTTCACTTTATGGTGGTTTGATGATCATCAGTCAATGTATGGCTACGATCGTTGTTCGATTATGTCGGGTTCGAGAACGAAGAATTATTCCTGACATCTATCAAAATAGCTAACAGTTAAATTCATTTTCTCGATTATAAATTAAACTATTTACATGTGTATAACGAGTACATGGAGCACTCAATTTCAAGAATAGGCAGAGAACAAATAATATTGATTAACTTTATGGTTTCCTATAAAACATTTTGGTTTTGTATCGACTGATCATGATGTACGATAAGATCTAATAGAAAACTATAAAGCGTTAGCATTTGCTTAATGTGCCGATAGACACGTCTATCAAGATATTATAATGTATATTCTACCATTTGAAGATATTAGTTATATACGATAGTGTCCTTGCATGATCTTCTTGTCATGCTAATGATTTGATTATCCGTGTTACCTTGTACTGTCGCTTTGTGTTCTCTTCTCCTTTCTCTTCTCTATAAAAGACAATGTTCTGTATTGTATGAAACACAACTGGAATACGAAATGATGTAGAGAACATCTTTAGCTACATCAGAATAACCATAACGTTATTCGTCCAGTTTGTCATCGTGATCACAATTAAGAAAAGAAATAAAATAAAAGTCTGCAGCAGCGAAAAACCAAATATCATCTACATTCTTATTATTTTCCGTTACACTTAACAGATCTTTTTTAGACTCCGTCGATTTTGAAAGCCATTTTTTCAAGTATGTTGACGTATTTGAATGCTGTTTTAAATATCCACAAAATCTTTTCGGCCAGCCACACATATAAAACATCATAAATACTAACTGTTTTGCAATATATTGAACTTAAGCGCTGTTTAGTACTCTTTTGTACAATTTGTGATAATGCAAAAAAGCAGTATATAAATGGAATACGAACTGGTGATTAATCGTCACAGTTCAATCATCAAAAATTATTGCATAGTTTCCAAAAAGTTATATAGTGTTAATATCAGTATATATATATATGTATATAAAGCTTTTTTTCCCTCGAAATGTTACTGTCAGTGTAGTAGTGTTGTTGAAGGAAGATAGAAGGTCATATCAAAACTGAAAGTTTCAATGTAAAAGTTACATATTCAAAATTAGCGTAATAAGAATTTGCAATTTCTATTTACACATAAGAAGACGTATGTATTCTAAAAACTCTGATTCAAGCTATATGTCGCTGGCTGATAGCTTTTAGAACCAGGGTTCAAAGTTTCTATTCTTTGGATCTTGATCTAAAAAGCATTGATTAATTTTACAAGTAGCGCTCGCCGTGCCGACTCACTTAACACTCGACTGTGGACAACAGGTATTTTTTCGTGTCCACAATGTGGCACAAATTGATCTAACAACTTTTTATACACGAAGAAACAATTCAAATGTTTTGCGCAGATATATTTAGTAACTTTCGAAAACAAGATACTGAATTTTTCTTACTCTTTTTGGAGAGACATAAAAAATCCCAATTTTATATTAGCAATGCAATATGCAATAAGAAGAAAGAAACGATGACGCAATCCAGTAAGCACTAGGGCCACTTCAATCGAACAACATCACAACCATACACAACATATCAAATGTACCACGAAGCATACACAAGAGTCAAAAATATAGAACGTCAAACAGCAATCTTAGTGTGCCCTAAGTCAATCCCACTTTCCAGGCATCCTCATCCTCATCCATATACCTCTGTCCAACAACTTCACTACCACGAGACCACTCGCCTTTCCATCCAGAAATAGGCATCTCCGCGAAAAAGCATCTCTAACTCCCATTTATGAGTCCAACTGGAACAAACATTCAACTACAAAAGAATACTTTTACCATTAATACAAATTTACTACAAACACCAACAACAATCATCACTTACTCGTATCAGTTTTCTTTCTTTGTCTTTGTCAAATTCCCATATATTGAACAGGTTTAACTCAATGAATTAAGGTTACATTTGACATGTCTGACTCTAGCGAATGTATCTTTTGATATCTCTATTTTTCGCCTTCAGTGCATTTAGCTACGTTATACATGCGATTATTTATTCGTTGCTCCTTTATTACTCCTAAGATCAGTTGCATAAAAGTTCGAACACCTAGCCATTTCAACTGCCTTCTAACACCACTCTTAGCCATTCCAAAACCCCATCAGCTTCATAATGCATTATAAACAAATCGACAAGAACACCTAACCTACATAAAATCCTCCACTAAGGGAACAGATTCGCCGATCATCGATTCCACTCGCCTACATCCAGACACCCACCCAAAAAAAAAGAACCAATGAACGATCACCCACACCCATACATTCACCCAAAGTTTCACCTAAGACTCCCACCCACGCTCATACATCAACCGATGTATTCGACCTTTGACCTTTGACTCTGCCACAAACAGACAGACAGACAAACTTTTTTATTTCATATGACCCTCTCTACAGTCGAGGGAATAACTAGTATCTGAACATTGCAGTTCACATTTGAGAAGATACACGTACATGGTTCTACTGATATAGTTAATTTGAGATACTCTGACGTGTTTATTTTGAAAACTCATTATCAAACAAGCTGTGTATAAGAAATAGAAAGGTATTAATGCAGAGTGTCAAATGAATAATATAATCCATATTTTTACTTTATGATCGTGAAAAGAACCATATGCATTGATTCGAACAGCTTTTTTCCATTTCTAAACCATCTGTGGAGTCACTTCACATCCTACAAAACTATCATCTTTGAGCAAAATACAGTTGCAGAAAGTTGAAATAGTGGGAAAAGGTATAGATAGTAAACTTTGGTGGGTTTATCACTAGAACAATCACCTTTTAAGAGTTAATCCATAAAAATTAACAGCACAGAGATATACTACTACACGGATTTTTTCAGTGTATCATTTACTGATAATATAGTTCCTTTTTTCATTCCTTCTAATGATTCTCACTCCACCACTCGTTTTGACTTTGCTAAAGATTAATACCTTCGTTCTCTAATATAATAGTGAACTGCTTCTCCAATTATTATTCACATTTGCAGAAGATTTCTGTTGATATTCTACGGTTAAACTAGATTGTTTATCGATTTGCAAGAAAAAAATCTATGTTGATGATGAAAAGCAAATTTATTTGAATGTATTTGCAAAGTTTTATAAATAGAATTGAAATTGAAATTATTTAGAATTACGTGTATAGAGGGTTTAGTTTAACAATAAGATTTAACAATGTAAGAGAATACCAACATAATCTGAATGTTCGTTTGCGTATATGATATCGGGCTTGTTGTCATTATTTGCATCGATTATCGCAATTACTTGTGGAGTCTTGCTAACTCTATAAGTTTTCCGAGGAAGAAATGTACCATTACCAATATTTAGGAGAACACTAATAGTATTAACATCAAAGCTTCCAGTAATTATATCATTTTTGTAATCGCCATTTAGATCGGCAATCATTACTGATTTTGACCATCCATCTGTTATATAAGTAACAAGAGGAAAAAAATAACCACGACAGTCGTTAAGAAGAACACCAACTAGATGATAATCCGAAAACGTGATAACTATGTCTAAATGGCCATCATTATTTAAATCAGCTATGCCCACTGATGATGGAGAATGAACAAGGTGGTCACTGTGTCGAAAATAGAGATCACGATCAATACCATAATAGCGAAAAAATGTGACGGTCCGGGCACCATTGTTAGTGACAACAATACTGAGACCTCCATAAACTTTCGCATTATCTACTGCTATTGAGGATGGAGATCTACCAACATCATACGTAGTACAACAGGCCAAATAATCACCGCCTGTGTTACGAAGTAGATAAATGCGGCCGTTTCCATAGCCTATATCAGCAGCAGAAACAATAGCAACATCCAGATTGTTGTCTCCATCGAAATCAACTACTGCAACTGACTTTAGGTCATTCCAATAATAACGGTGTTCTCTTGGGATGGTAAAAGAGCCATCGTCTGTATTGAATGAAATGCCAACGGAACAGCTACCATAGTGTACATTTAGAGTGACAATATCTAGTTTGTTGTCATCATTAATATCGCCTAATGCTATCGAAACTGCAGCAGCATTATTATGGTGCTTTTTTCGAGAGAGAATTGTTCCGTTGCTACCATGAAAAGTAATTTCAATGTAGAATTTATCGATATATGAGATAAAAACATCGGATACATTGTCATGGTTAACATCAGCAACTGCTATTGCAATAGGCCTTCTACCATTTGAGTAACGAGATTCTTCATAAGATAAATCACGGACTATTAAATACATAAAAAGATTTTTAGTGTATTATAGTAATGCACGAATAGGATTAGATGTTCTATTCTATGCGTTTTAATATATTATGATAAAATATCTCTACTGATACATTGATTTTAACATTTTGGTACTAGCAAATTCTACCAATAGATAGATTTTTCAGATATCATATAAAATTTTTATTTGAACTAAACATCGGTTTAAGTATGCTAAAGGTTAATACTTAATTTTGAATATATCACTTACCAGTCGTTTTTGTTGTCACTGTCGTTAGTGATGTGGTCGAGACAATTGTTGATGAAGTTGTTAAAACAGTTGAGGGTGTAGTTGCTATCGTCGTTAATGATGTTGTCGAAACTATTGTTGATGTAGTCGTTGGCACAATTGTTATTGTTGAAGAGAACGTTATAGTCATTAATTCTATAATCGATTTTATGTTGCAAAAAAATAGACTTGAATTAAGACTAAATCAAGAGAGGGTGAGTGTGGGTAAGTTCGATGTATAAATACACCACCCTTACCCTCGCACCGTCAACATGGGATCATTGCGGGTGTCTGTAACGTCTGTGGAGGTGGGGGGTGTTCAACTTTTTGCCCTTAAACACTTCAACACTCTCTTTCAGATCGTGTTTCACAAAATACTTCCTAATGCACTTACAACGACTCGAACTATTATTGCATGGTCGTAAACATTTAAAATTCTAGTAAAGTTTATCAACTAACTAACTCGAAAAGCCGTTATAGAAGAAATATAAAAGAGACACATGCATTTTCATATTTTAATTCGAGTTTAACCATTAATAAAACTTCAACTACATGATATTGATTCGAAAAATACATGAGAAACAAGATAACATTCAATGAAGATGATCGTCGGAGATGAGCACAGGCTATATAGTTTTGACCATAGATATAAGTCTTGATAGAAGACAAAGAGTTGAGTTTTCTCCTGATCTGAGATTGTTATTCATCGAGAGATGAAAACTGTTCGAACTTCGTGAATTCTAAATCCATGACGATTTCTGAACTTTAAAAACTCAAATAATGCTCTGACTTCTGAAAGCAATTCACTAGAAAACCAAAGATATCATGGATAACATATACTTCTACAGAATCAATCCTGGTACCATCATAAAATAAAAGAGAGCAAGTAACAAGTAAGATCACCGTAAGACGTATTCTGTGGTGTTCCTTGAGACCTTCAACTCGGTATCATTCCAGTGTTATCGTAGTGGTATCTTAACAATCACCCACACATACCCAACCCACATCCTCGGTTTTAATATACAATTTTATCCTCAAGAACTAGTGTACCTGTTGATGTTGTTAATGATTCTGTCATTTTCATCCGCCGATAATATTTTAGCATTGTAATTGTCATAGAACCAGCAATTATACCACCAATAATTAAAGTGGATATGATGCAACACATTTTTCTTTTAATTGGTGAGCTCCTAAAAATAAGATTATTAATGTCTACAGTAAAAAAAATGTTTACATACACTGCTGTCATCGACGAATCCTGTCCTTCAATTAAATCTATGGATATTTTGTCGTTCTAAAATGACATTAGAACAAAAATGTTCACGTACAATACCTTTTTCTAAAATAAGATTATTGACATACTGCATGACTCTTACTGATTGTTTCGTTTTCAGTCGACATTAATTGATGACTTCTATTAATATTTCTATCTAGTAAAGAAAAAGAAAAACACACACAGCATAATTTTCCGTATTAACCTCCAGATAATACGATGCTCTACAAGTTGTCCAAATTTAGGCTATCTTCTAACGACACTATAATTCAAAGTGGATAGGTGTTATGTATATGTATTGGATCATTAGTTCCATCAAACGTTCATAGTCATACTCTAACAGCTTGCCTAATATTATGATGTTTCTATATTCTTAAGAACTGAATAGAAATCACTTACGTTCGACAGTATTTTTTTTGTGCTTCTACGATCTCGACTATGCGATAAAACAGAGCGATAAAAGCAAGGAAAAATAAAAATAATGAAGCTGTATCCATTAACACGACTGATTCTTCAAATTACAAAAGCAGATGTAAATGATTGTCTAATATAATTAGAGAACATGGCAAAAATGTTGCATGAGTTTCATTTAGGGTGCGGAAGCAAGGTTCCATGGTAGAAAAACAGTAAGATAAAATTAATGAGGAACGATTGAAAGCTTGTGTTTTTAAGTAAATTTTAGTCGATTTTCTCTGATAGGTTTTTATGTTAAAATCAAATGGCAATCGATGGAATATCACTGTGAATCTGTTGTTACTTTCAATGAATTAACATTGAAAATCATTAGTTTTTCAATGAAATCCATGATGACTTTTTCTATTCTATAATCGACTCGTTTAAGTTCGACACTGATTAACAGAACGTGCACTAGATATGCACCAGTTAACTGATTATTTAGTTGTATCGATCACCTATTTGCATTGGACATTTGACGTCAATGATCTTATTTATTTAACTATTGATATTTGCATTTGTGCCCACAAGTACGATTGTTTAATTATTAGGCGTTATACGTTATTAAAAATCGTAATTTTCAGACATTTTTTGAAATTTCGTATGCTAATCAAATTTCAAAATCCAATCATTGAATGAACAACTGATCACTTACATTAAGTATCCTCGCTGTTAAGATATTTGTATATGGGCAGAAAAACACTATCACATCTTTGTTTTTCAAGAGAATTGAATCATGAAAAATGCACGAAGAATTGGTTAGATCCATATCAAATGTCAGAACCAATATGGGTGTCATAGAATTTTAATAAAATCCTATAAGATACTATCGGATCTCTGTGCCTTGAACCAATAAATTCTCATATAGAATACATCTGTCACTTAAATCTAAAATTATTGTATAAGATTCCTACTAGAATCTGACTGTCTGAAACTGTTGGATATTTGTTGGCATCCTACCATAAGATCTGTCATCGGACCCTTTCACCCGGAAAGTGAGAAACTCTGTATTCAAAGATTTTTCTTCAATTATGCATAAAAAAACGACTCCGCATTTACAAACGTAATTTCATCTTAACGTTCAACTATAAGATGCAACAGTAACGTAGCCAGGATCTTCTGATGAGGTGTGCATATTTTATTTCACGAGCCGCGCCCTTAAGATACAAGTGAAATCTTTCTATGCAGTCATAAACATGACCTTTTACTTTTCGAAAAGATTTCTGAAGTTAAATTTCACCTTGCGATTACTGTTATAAAACTTTTCTTTAATCAAATATATCAGTGAAAGACTTTTTCCCAAATGATGTACTCATCAATTCGTTATCCATTTTTCATATCATTGGCATTAACTGGTAAATATCAAACACTAAGTACTACAGATCAAATTTTCTTCTATTGCTTAACCGAAACAATTTATTTCGTAAAATTGTATATGAGTCTAAATGATATTTCTTTTAAGAGGTTTACGAAAAGAAGTATTTTTAGCTTTTGAAATATTTAATATAGTTCTGTAATATCAAGAGAGTAGTCGTTAAAACTTTGTTGACCACCAGCAATTAACACTTTTCCATCGGCTAGTACAGTTGCTGTATGACGAAAGCGTCCTTTGATTAGACTGTGTACTATTGACCAAGTGTTCAATAACGGATCATACAATTCAACACTATCTAGGGAGCCGTAATAATCTCCTCCAGCCACTAGCACTTTTCCATCCGGTAATACAGATGCTGTATGATAAGAACGACGAAAATTCATATTACCTGCAGGTTTCCACGTGCCTGTCGATGGATCATATAATTCAGCATTAAATAAACCCCAACCATTCTGGTTTCCTCCAGCTACCAATACTGATCCATTTTTTAATAATGATGCTGAATGACCTTGACGCCAATCGCTCATTGGCCCTGTTTTATTCCACGTGCCTGTTAATGGATCATATAATTGAGACGATACCCCATGTAAACCTCCAGCCATTAACACTTTTCCATTCGATAATAGAGTAGTTGTGTGATAAATATTGCTCATTTTATCTGTATTTCTCCAGGTACCTATTGATGGGTTGTACAATTCGTCATTTCGTACAAGTATGCTACATGATATATCGTAGTATCCACCGGTAACTAGTACTTTTCCATTCTTTAATAAAGTAGCTGTGTGATGACTTCGTTGATGATTCATACTTCCTGTAGTTATCCAAGTATCTGCTGATACATTATATAATTCAGCAGCAGATAAAACTAAATTAGAATGCCTTCCACCTGTAACTAATACTAGTCCATTTTCTAATACAGTTGCTGTATGATAACTTCGTGGATGATATGGCTCATTAACAATTTTCCAAATACCTGTTGATGGATCATACAGTTCAGTTATCTTCATAACATCGATACCGTTAATTTTTCCACCTGTAACCAATACTTTCCCGTTGGGTAACAAAGGTAGTGTATGTAATGTACGTGAGACAGCCATTTCTCCTGTAACAAACCATTCTAAAGAAAATATATGAACGTGCGATTTATATTTTACTTATCAGTCCTTGCACAATATTTACATTCTGATTCCTATTTATCACTCCAAAAATATAGACAAACACTTATGTTTGAAGAGTCCATATTAGATAAATATGGAAGTATAGTGATATGTTCTAAATTATATTTTCTATTTTAGACTATCTAATACCTGTGCCATCAGAGCTGCAAGAATGATCAATGTTCGCCGACATATCGTTCGATTGTCTAATGATCCTGTAAAACCATCTCTATCTGCAATGACTCAAGTCTTCGATATCAATAAATGAACATTATACATGTTTAGTATTGTTAACTTGAAATTAGAAGTTTTGGATTCTACATAACACTCAAATATATTGTTAGTGTATGTGGACTGAATAAGTTAAGTTTTCAACATTTCTGAGCGAAATTCTACCTCTCGGCAGTGTTGTTGTCGTCGTTATTGGTCCTGTTGTTGTTGTTACTGTTATTGTTGATTCTGTGGTCGTTGTTGTCGCTGTTACTGATTCTGTTGCCCTTGTTGATATTTTTGATGTTATTATTGAGATGTTCTCCAGTTTTTCTCTAATGTTAATTATTAAAAAGATACTTCCTGCTATGATCGAAACACCAATAGTAGTAAAACATATATATTGGAGGAATTTTCTTCTTTCAAACGATCTACATCTAAATGAATTTCTTTACTATGGTTTATTACATTTTTCAATAGACATACGAAGTTCTTGCTTGAAAGGTTGATGTTTGCATTGGGACGACTATTAATGAGCACTTCACAAGGAAAAATCTACAAAACGAATCATTTATTACAATTCATCGTCAAGAGATTTTCATTGACATTGTTCTTCATGAAAATTTCGAATAAAACTTCATAAATGATCGACCAGAATTTACCATACAGAGAAAAGTATACCAAGTCTCTCTCTATCAATTCATAAAAGCAAATACATTTTACTGCTAATATTTATCAACAAACCAAGAGAGAAAGACTTTATTTGATAATCTATTCTTATTGATGGTAGTAAATATGTGAATAATTTATATCTAACTGATGACAAAATTTTGCTCGAATGTTTTTAGACAGCTAATAATGAATATTCACCGATATAACCATGTTCATATAGAATTTACTCTTGAATATCTCCTGTAAACGCAATAACTGTGATTAAATATTAACCTAATTTCTTTGTAAAATCCCTAATGAACAAAATGAAAGCAGATGTGAGTTACTATCTCGTGTAAATACATATAACGATAGGAAAATGTTGCCAACTAACAAATTTACAAATACAGTTTTTGAGAAAAAAGAAAAAAAATCTCATTTAGTCATGATATTAAGCTGGCATTAAGATAATTGAAAATTACAATTGGAAAAAGTCATTCTTCATCAGAAAAAACGAAAATAAGAGGAGTGTGAGACTTATACACGCTTCTATAAGCTAAAAGAAATGTGACATATACGTAAAAAAAGGGCATTTAAAATCAGAATAACCCTTTTTTTAAGAAGTTCCTCTTTCATTGTATTCAGCAAAAAATTATATTAAGCATACAATTATCACTTTTGTTTTCTTTGAAATATTTTACAGATAATTTACATTTTCACTCAAATATTCATATTAGTGATTGAGATAAACAATTCCAGTGGAATTCATAACTTCAATATTTGTTATATCATTTATCGCTTGTATTAAATGCATCAGTAAAAAGCTTTCTCTTAGAAATATATTTTATCGTTAAATGAATTATTCTTTCTCATTTGCTTCAACATAAATTAGATTATTACTAAATGTTTCATTAAATTCTTCACAATTTCTTTTAATTTCAACTTTTCATCTCACACACTCGCATCCTCAACTCTGAAAAGATGCTTGGTGGCTTTTTTTTCATGAAAGCTGAAAATTTTTTGTTTGTAATCTATGTGGTTACCAATGCAAAAAGCTATTTATAATAGTAAAAGTATGCAACAGGCTGACAAAAGTATGCTCATGTTTCCATATATAAAATGCTATGAAATTTCCAGTTTCCGTTGATATTAAAAGATCAAGTGAACTTTCGCATTTTAACGTTCTGGAGTACCTTGGTTGAATATAGTCAGGGTGTAACGATAATGATATCGTTCATCTCCTTCTGTTCTTTATTCTCTCACCTCTATATCATACTATCTTCGGGTCATATCTCTCTTTCCTCTTCTCTATATAAGCACGTATCTTATTGTGAAAGAGATACATTCTGGTCATGTAGAGTAGTCAATAAACATCGATACCGTGAGAAGCGGTCAGCTACTCAACCAGTTTGTCGTTACAGCAGGCAAGTTCGTTTTTAACTTCGTCACATCGACACGTGTACTTCGCGTCACAGATCGAGATCGGTTAATGGAACCACAATAAGGATCACATATTGTGACCGATGAAGCAAAATTTTCTTAAAAAACAGCGGATATCGCTATTGATAATGATATGTTGCTTTCAACAGCTTAAGTTTAGATAAATGAGAATGCAGACTGAGAAATAAATCAAAGAGTGGCAAATATCAAATTGGTACTAATTTTCAAAACGCGTCTGTCAAAATTTTCAAAATATACAAACTTGAAAAGTTTCACATTTTCAAAATTTTGCTAACTGGAGATAACATGAAAAATCGAGTTTGCGTCTTAATAATAATTTTATTCCGCGAAGAAGTTTAGAATTAGGCATGCAACAATTCCGATTCAATTCGATTCCGATTCTAGAATCGAATGGGATTGGTTGGCATTGGAATCGAATGGAATTGATCCGAGATAGACTGAAATAGATTATTAATTTTAACTCAGACTAATACAAGTTTCGGACAGTCTTCGTTAATGGCAGGCAGATTTCCAGAAACAAGAAGCATTTAGAATTATTTTCCTGTTAGATCTCACATAGTTCTTAACTATGTCACGTTAGTTTCAAATCACATCCAGTCAATCCCAGTCGGTTGCAACCAATTCCAATTCCATTCGATTTCGATTCCAGAATCGGAATCGGACTGTTTGAAATCGGGATTGGTGCATGCCTCACTGTACTTCACCGGTACTTCACTGGTACTTCAGTTGTACTTCGCTTTACTTCATTGGTACTTCACTATATTTCAAATAATATCTGAAATAGATGAAGTCTCGCTTTTCCCCCCTTGGCCATATGACACATTGTACTTGATAGCGCTTTCGGCGGTTGATGATGTTGACAGAATCTGTGATCGATATTAGAAGCTGTAAATATAGAAGAAATTTAGAAAAAAGAATCATTTATCGAGATGGGACGCGTCACAGTTCCCTGCAAATATGTCTATTTCCTCGTCCTTTGTCTCCCAATAACACGGGAAAAGTGACAGTTATTACGATTGTTTGTAATTATGTTGATTAACGATAACGCGTTCTCAAAAATCTACCTAGTATATGTTTAATCATGAACTCGGATATGTGAAGAAAAGAAAACATCGTTCAACATAAGAAAAATACATGAATGATAAATAAATGAAACGCTTTGAAGCAGAAGCTACGCATATAGCAAGCTAGATTTGTGATCTCTGTCAATACATCATAAAGGAATATGAGATATCGCGTAAAATAAATACGAAATGCGGTATGTATCAAACAGAATACGAATAAACCTCATAAGCGTATTATGCTTTGTTATCAATTACGTCCAATTTACGGACGTTCGAAGTTTCACGATCTAAAAAATCTATCATTTCTCCTGATTTCTGATGCGAACGACTTTTTGTGTGTACTGTTTTCTGAAAGTTGTCTCGAAAATGTAAGTTACACGCAAACGAATTTCAGTTTTTTGACCACTTTTTTTCGACATGACCCTCCTGACAGTCGAGGGAAAAATTAAGTTCTATATTTATTCTTGTAAATTACACAATAAAGAGTATTTCAAATTATCTGCAGTTCTCAAACAGCAAATTCGGATATGAATCAATTATGTTAACTTATACCATAATACAATCTCAAGAAATTTCACATCCACTTCGAATCAATCAAACATCTTCCATTCATCGAAGATGATTTTCATCCGAAAAACCTCCAAACTGGATAAACATCAGTCTTCACTTGCAGCCAAAACCAACAACAATTGAGAATGAAATTTATAACCGCCAAGTCATAACTCAGGAGAAAATTATTACAAGTACATACATTCATATATTGCGATTTAAACCTAACGAGCAGCAACAAAATCCACAAATCTAAAGTAAGCCTAAAAAATATTCCGTATCCAACAACAGGAACAGTTCAAATCGATTGACCCAGCACTTAGCGTATATATGAACATAACAACCAAACGTTTACTTAATAGGTCATAAAAGAAGTAGATTTTCGTTTAAACTGTAGATTTCTATTATACCAGAGCACTAGATCACATAGAAATCACACTCGACCAAATGAAATAGGCACATTCCATAGTGATAGCTCAACAAGAAGTTAAGAGAAAAACCTATCGAATAGAAAGTTACCCACAAAACAACTCTAAGAACATTCAATTGCCAAACTCACAACCTAACACTGTCCAACCATTTACATTCAGCGGAAGACAATCCTTCCCATTTTCAAAAACCCAAATTCACTTAACCGTTGCAAAACTCGATTCCCTCACACACTGAACATCGATACGATATCGTCATACAAGTAAATGCTTATCCTATAGAGAAAAATGTTCTTTTAAGTTCATTGTAAGCTTTTATAGCAGAAATATCAACCTTCAGACAATTCTAATTGTATTTTGAAACGCCTCAGCTCCAAATTCGATTCTTGCTAGTTTCGTAAAAGAATAGTTTAGTTTTAGTGTGACTTTCTTTGGGATAAGCTTTTTTCTAATGAAAATGTTTATTTTGAATAAAATTGAGTGAAATTCTATGCCATCTTATGAATCTTCTTGAGCAGAAGATGAAACTGGTCATGGCAGTTCTACTCACATCCTCACACGGAGTCAGTGCTCTCATACGGACCGCAACGGTCAACAATGTCAGAAAAACAACTTCAAATTCTTTGTCACGAAAGAAAGATGGCCGTCAAATTCGCCAAAACTGAATTTTCTCGATTATTCTATATGGGACCATATCTCAAGCCACATGTAATATAGAAATGTGAAAAAAATCAATGAGTTACGTTGGGAAGCTGAATAAGGGATAAGAAAAGTTGATATAAACTATGTGCGGGACGTGATGGATACTTTTCCTTCTCGAGTACGTTCAGTCATGACACAATGGTGACTTAATTTTCGATGAACATAGCTAATTATTAGAGTACTCTGCTATACCTTTTTAAAAAAATGGATTACTATTTTGTTGCTTCGTTCTCTCTTGAAATAAAACGATTTCTTTGAAATGTCGCAAAACTTTTGGTACACCCGGTATACACTTGGCTAGGCGCCTATAGAACGATCCTTGAGAAAAATCGAACCTACAGTCATAGCATTTGTTAGGAGGATACGAAAGAGAAAGAAATCGATATGGAGTGAGAGAGACGGTCGGTCTCGGATCGTTGATTGAATACGAACAGAAGTGTGAACAATGGAGAGAAAAAGAGAAGACCCGACCAGCCATTAAGATGAATCCGTAGCTATATATATAGCTAGGGAACAAAGAGACAGACGAGATGCTATCATAAGATATCACCTTAACAATGGTTTAAACACCTCGAGAAGAAGAGCCTGGAAATGCGAGGATTTAACCCGTAACAGCATTCTTGATCTATATTTCACACACTCATCCGCAAAATGACTTTCTAACTTTGACCCATTGAACATATTCTTTCTGGGTTTCTGTGGGCGATACGGTTTGACAACGCCGTAGCTCAGCGAAAAATCGACAGAATTCTTCAAAAAGTTGCAGAATATATTGAGTCTCAAATTCTGAACAAAATCGTCAAAAAAAGTGGAGATTAGTTCATGATAAGTGTCCCATTAAATATTGCCTCCAATGTGGCTTCTACAGAAAGGGGTATGCATAACCAGTCTTGATTAATCTGTAACATTATGGGCGTTGTTTTCGAGCAAGTTTTTGATTCCATCTATTACCTTCATTGCTATTTCAGGGTGTGATACCAGGTAAGGCTCTGTAAACAATATATACTCTTTCAATTTCTTTACATCGTGTTCGCGTATAACGCTAAGAAGTCGATTTCCATTGAACATCGCGTTTTTATCTTCCTCGAGATCTTCGAAATCATCATAGATATCTTCTAATATATCCTGGATAACTTCATGCTCTGTTGATTCAGGCTTTTCACCATTCAAATATCGTATAAAATGTCGATGCATTCGAACATCGGCACTTTTCTTGTGATAGAAGTATTTTAGATCGTAATCAGCGAAGCTCTTGCCATGTCGGGCACTAGTCTCAATCACAGCAAACTCTTTCAAATCTTCTAAGAGTTTCATGCAAACATCAGTAGGAATGCCGAGTTTCTCAATTGAATTGGCCACTTGCTGAAATAGTGCGTCTAAAACTACAGGATCGATTTCTTTATTATGTTCACCATAATGGTCGATAATGTATATCATTGTTTGTATCTCTCGAAGATTTTCCTGTATGTGTTCGCCAACACCAAGAATATATGGCTCGATGTTGGTTTTGTAGACAGTTTCAACTTTTGCTTGAATTGTCGGTATATCAGAGTCCGGAATAGGATAAACTATGTTTTGTTGAAAGCTTGTGCTATTCATATTAATTTAAGAGACTGCTGTAATATATTGATGAGATCAAATTTTATTTAGTAATATTAACCTGAAATAATAACAGAATGCAATGTGTATGTTACCGTGAATTAGCTTCGAAAGTAGTGAAATCTCTACCAATGTTACGAGAGAAAACGCTAATCTAATTACGTGCAATTATAGTGTGAAACACGACGTAACCGTTGTTCTTATTAATTGTATTGAGGTCATTACAGTTCATCAATTATGGTCACCCATCCAACAAGCATCAATAGAACTATCTCTTTCTTTGCTAAGGTACTGAAGTAACTGGTAGTTCCGAGTAAAAGTGCCAGTTTTTATCATTGATTTTTCCACTTACTATCTTAAATGGCTGTCACAGTTTCTTATAGAAAGATGTGCCGCGAAATTCCTTAGCAGGATACTGAGAGAAAACTGATATGAAATAATACGATGGAAAATTCTACCATTTATTTTCTACAACTATCGCATGGGTAACTTTCTGAATTAATCTTTTTCGAAAACTTGAATTATTTTCGCTGGTTTTGTTTTGAAAATTCCGATAAACAAGTCTTTCTTTTCTATAAATAAGCGAGTTTTTCGTTTTAGTCTATAAAATAAACGTTTTGGGCTCACTTTTACTGCTAACTAACAATAAGTTTCTTTGACAAGATACTAAGCGATCATGATTTGATTTATATCACTCCTTTCATTGAAAATGAAACACTTTCATCCTCCTGATAGTTACGCTACTCTTTGCTGTTAAAATTTTCTTAAAAAGAACATAATATAAGCCAAAAGTACTTATGTTCCGTTGTAATGTATACTGTTTCCTAAACATTCAAGACCACTGTCTCCGAAAAGAACTTTTTTTTTATTTGGAACAAGTGGGCTCGGACGGATTGCGAAATTTTTCGGGATCAATGATGGACCGTAAAAATTCTACAATAGATAGAAATGTCGTTTTTTATGTACTTAAAAAGTGAGTACACTACTAGAATCGGTCAGTGTGTCCCACCGTTTACACGATAACTTTCGATAAAGGAATCGAATTTGACTGAAATTTTCTGCATAACCTTATCGCATCACTATCTCGGCCGAGTTCGAAGATGAGCCCAATCGGCTGTGCCCTTGCTGAGTTGCGCTAAGATTTTCTCCGATTTCTATGTAAAAAGTTCAATATTTGAGTATTTGTCTGCCTGTTCGTTTTGCATTTCCTCTCTGCACTAGCTATAACCAACGAAATTGCTGTACTAGTTCCTCAGATCCAAGAAAATATGAATAGAGTGCTGACTAAGCACTTATGGGTAGACATGGGTGATCTGGCTGGATTTGCATGAATATTCACCCAAAGGATTTCGCGTTCGAAAAATGCGCAAAACCATTCAGGGAGCTTTCACGAGTGCAGGGAAATGCCAAAAGAAAATTAATAGGCAAGTGTTGAGGATGGTAGGAATGGTGTGGGTGAAATTTCACTAAGATGGTTTCATGGTTGAAAACACCGCAAAACCTTTCATACTGCACCCGAAGATCTAGAAAATATGGAACGAGTAATCAGATCTTGACGGGAATGCTCGATGTTTATAAGCTATCCAGGCAGACAAGCTACGATAAAATCACACGTGAAAACGCTTGAAAATGTGCGCTTTTCTCGAAATTTTCCTCCGTAGAATTTCAATGCGTTTCTACACGTTTTGTTTTCAGGAGAATAACGACCAAAGTCACGTATTTCAAGGAAAAGCGCATAAAACACGCGTTGAAGTTTTAACGCAAATAGCTTTGTAAAAATGCGCGGTTTTATCCTCGTTCAAAGTTCAACGCGTGTTTTATGCGCTTTTCCTTGAAATACGTGACTTTGGTCGTTATTCTCCTGAAAACAAAACGTGTAGAAACACATTGAAATTCTACTGTGACGATTTCTGATGGAAGAGATGTGTATCCCGATGGAATCATGTCATTCTTTATTTCTTCCTATCATCAATCGCATCGTTCTAATACAAAACACACGTTTATATACCCTTCTCTCGATAGAAAGGAAGGAAGGATAAGGCCAAAGTACATAAAATGCACCGAAGTAGGGACAAATAGCATGCGTACAGCGCATGTGAAAAAGATCGTCACATCTACGAAGGAAAATTTCGAGAAAAGCGCACATTTTCAAGCGTTTTCACGTGTGATTTTATCGTAGCTTGTCTGCCTGGGCAGGTGTGATCTGGGTGAGATTGCACTCACACGGTTACATGTCAAGACAGGGTGCCAAATCTCTTTTACGGTTTCCGTAGGGATAGCAAAGGATCGATCGAATGTTGGGAGGCCAGTAAAGGGATAAATGAAATAGGGAAAACTGTGGATGAAAGTTCACCCAAGCGGTTTTTTAATGAAAAATGGGCGCACATTTGCATGAAACCGTCGTAGATCTAAGAAAACATTGAAATGGTGATCACAGATCTGTAAGCAGGGAGATGTGGGCAACCGGGGTGAAATTGCTACCAAGTGGTTTGCGTGGCAGATAATCACATCAAACACGCAACTATCACTGCAGAATTCTATCAGAGGAGCCAAACGTGGGTCAGGGCATCATAATGAGGATCTTGGCAGTGACAGGATGTGGGTGTGTTTCACTCAGACTACGCGTCTATCAGTCATAGATCTCTGTTGTGGAGAACACCATTAAAATGTCTGCGGCGAATTTAGATTCAATGGGTGATGAAAAAGCATGGAAATAATGAGAATGAGCGTGAGCTGATGAGCTTCGATGAAATTTACCCAAATCATGTTCGAATGTGTTGACATTGATAAAGCCGTTCTAGAAATACTGAATAATGTAAAACGTAGAAGCCCGCTCAAAAACATGGTTTTCATTCAAATATGTGCTTCAGTTAAAGACAGCCAGTGTCAATAATAATCTACTAAGAACGGATCCTAAGCGTATCAGTGTTATAGTATACTGACAGAGTGAGCATACTACTATATAGTTCAATGGCTAAGTCTTTTCCACGATTCCTTAAAATAGTATATTAAGTAAACCCCCTCCCAAAATAAAAAGACCTCCCTAATTAGAAGGCCCCTCAAACTGGATTGAATTATCGTCGTATTAGAAGGCCCGGGCTTTATACCGTACCGATATTTATTCAAAGCAAAGAATGTAATTTACCGTGTTTTTCCTTTGTGAGGCGCGGACAATGCAAAATTACAGCATCTCTCTTTTTTTTTCTTTTAATATACATTCTTAGAGTCAGTTTTTAATGCTGCTCACGAATATCACCCTATTTTTCGATTCGACAAAGGCTTCAGGGAGAAACACTCAAAATACTGCAGACATGTCTAGACGAAAGAATATGCCACCCTTTGAAAGCTACCTCTAATTCTTTATCGATTTACTTTTCGTTCTTCCAAGCACGAGTTTTGAATTCCTCATGTAAAACTGAGTCTAGAAATATATTTGGAAGTTTAGTCAGATATTCCGGGTCTGTTCTGGAAAAGGTCTATACTCTAAGGGTTTAGGCCCTAAGGATGCAAAACCTGCCGATTCTATCTAGTTTTTTCCTTTAAGTGTTATAGCCTTCATTTCGACGGCATTTGAATCATTATTCGTCCAATAACAAACTAACGGACCGCTTTTTCTGATTTTCTTTTGCTATTTGTAAAAAACGATCCCAAATGGACATGTTCTTCAAAACCAGGCTCCTTCATATAGGTTTTCTCAAAAAAAAATCCACCTTTTTTACTATATAGTCACGGCTTCAGTAAATGAGTCGAAAAGATAAAATTTTAATCAAAATTTCATGTTTATCTTATTGATACGAGTGTAAAACCTTAATAGTAGGGCCTCCCCAATTAGAAGGCCCCCAAAAAACATTGCTTTGATTTTCCATAATAGAAGGCCCAGGGCATTTAATTCCGGGGAGGGGTTTAGTTATCCTGCAGGTTTTCTTATTCCAGTAGCGACGTATAGAGTATGTAGAAATACCAGCGCACTGTTTCCTGAAATCTCAGCTAAAGATAATCATTAATGAGTTTTCTGAACATCTCTAGTTTCACTCCGATAAACTAGGCCTCAGTGAAATCTAAGAGAACTCATTTATTATTATACCTAATTGCGAAGGAAACACCCTCAAGAACCACCGTCTACCAACCCTTTTGATGGGTTCGATGGCATACTATTTTTAAAAGTGTACTCTCTAGAGTTTAAATATTGAGTGAACATCTTTCGCAAATGGATAGGAGTGAGTATTCACATGGAGTGTTCACATACACCCTTACTTGTCATATGTGCATGTGCTCAATCTAGAGAAATATTTCCATATAAAATCTGTCTTTTTATAAAATTTTGCTTTCGAAGAAAAATATTTGACTCACGCGCATCTACCACTTGTAGCATACCGATTTTTCTCAAAAAATAAACCTCGAATACACCTTCATTCTCATTAAAAGCATTTAATGATGATCATCCTTATAAGCAGTAGCGGTCATTATATTGGAATCATATATTTAGGTAATACTCTCCCGCTAATCACAATCCTATTTATCGCTTGAAAAAAGAAAAAAAATTGTGATTACACTGATAAAAATTTTCGTAGAATGATAAACCCTCAAAAAAGGGTTAATAACTGAAAAATTCGTCTATCAACGTGATCTACTCCTTGATAAACCCTTTTCTCGTTGATCAACTGGATCAATTGTAATCGAAAGGTTTCTAGGAAATGATGATAAACTCTGAGTTTGAGGGTTGATTCAGTTGATCGACGGGAAAAGGGTTTATCATTCTACGAAAATTTTTATCAGTGTAGGGTATACCAAAAGTTCTGAGCTCGATGATTAAAATTTTTTGAAGCCGTAAATATTGAATGTTTTTTTAAGGCAAAGTATAGCATAAGTTCTCACCTGCAATAATCAACAGAGTAACTCCATCATGGATTTACCTCTAACACCCCGCTAGATTAGTTATATAGTAGTTATAGCTAAGAAAAGACACTGTCAACATAAAGCTAGAATGTGAAAAAGAAAAAGATTTGTAAGTTCATTTTATTAGATGCTCAAAATGGTCAGCGTTATTTTCTATATAGAGTTCCATCCTTTCTAATAGTTTATCAAAAGTCTTCTTGAACTCGTTCATATGAATATTTCTCATGACGGTGGAAACCTCTTGATCCAGCGATTCTTCGTTCGTGTGATCCGTCAACTTGTTCTTGGTATAATCATTTAGCCAAAAGTCACACGGTGCAAGATCTGGTGAATGTGGTGGATTTGGAATGATTTCAATACCTTCCTCGGTTAAATAATCGACAACATCTCGATGAGCATGAGGAGCACCATTTTTTAAACACCGTGCTCAGAACTTTTGGTATAGCCTAAGTAATTGTCTAAAGAATCGACTGTACGTGAAACTGAGATATTTCAAAAAAAGAGAGTAAGTTTGAGCTGAAATTTTTAGAACATCTGAGGCTTGGTAAAGGCTATCTTTGAGTACAATTTCAGGCAGAAATCTCTTCATTTGAATCTCCAGTGAATATTCATGAATAGGCCGAAAATTTAATAAAATGGCCATAACTCTCGTATAATAAGCAATGGGCCCGAACTATTTTAGATTTTTCTTAATCTCGCTGAGGCACACACATGGCCAAAATATGGGACTAATTGGCATGAATCACTTGGGGTAGTTCCATCGTGAGGATCATTGAACAAGAAACGTGGTCAAAATGATTGTTACTTATGACACTTGTCATGCTTATATCTCCTGAACCGGCTATTCGTTTGAGCTGAAACGTTGGATTTATTCCTAACGTGCCATGGTCTACCTACTGTAAAAACTTCACCCAAATCGGAGACGTTCATTACGCAACGTTATGTGAAATTGGGCGTAGCTTACGCGCAATGCCTCATATGTTGTTACCTGCTTCCGACGCCCTGTGACCCAAGAGGAACTTATGAAGTAGAAGTGCTCGAATGTTTCTACGAGAAAGATTTATTTCTAAATCATAATAAGAGTCCACATCGATGAATTTATCATCATTCGAAAGATATTCATACTTCTTTTACAGTACAGTGCAAAAATCCTTGCCCTTCATGTTGCACGTCCCTCTCTGCATTTATATGTCAGCTGTACTAATAAATTGTAATCATAGACAGGGCTGAGTTCAAGTTTCAAAACCGGCAGAAAAATTATTTTATCATATTTCTCTTTCAGTAACCCTCACCCTCATACCTAGTTTCAACCGATTTGATAAAATAATTTAGGATAATCCAGCTAGTTTTCTCACGCATCTCTCAAAAAATTTTACCGAAATCACACAGTTTTGGCCATTTTTCTTCTCAACACGAGATTCTACGACGGATTATACGGCTTTTAGAGAATTAATATCAATTTCGTGGAATGTCGATCTGACGAGTTTGTCCTTTTTCTAGATTAACATACTCTTTCAATCCTCTACGCTTCATCGTTTTTAGTCATCCGAAGAAATATTTACACAATTCGGACGTAGAGCTTTCTGTGGATAGTTTTTCTGACAACATTTTAAGGGCCGATCATTTTAATACTATAAATGAGATTTCCCTTCGATTTTTGATGAAGTGAGGTTTTATCGTGACTGCTTTGTTTCTCTAATCAAACGCTATTTTCGATGATTTTCCTTGTAAGTAGGTACATTTTGATCTGCTCTTACTTTCGATAAAGTTATTTTAAAAAACTGAAGAAAACTGCTCCATATCTGATTTCAAAAGCGTGGTTCATACAACGGGCAAGGATTTTTGCACTCTACTATGTGTGCCCTTAGCATAGAAACTTGTAGAACTTTCTCGGGTATTTTAGGACATTTACAAGAAAAGCGCAAGCACTTAGTTGTCAAATTAATAGGAGGTAACATCGCATAATATATATCAGCGTTTTAGTGGAGAAGAGAAAAAGAAAGAACGAAATTTTTTAAAAAATCAGTGAAATAATTTTTGCCTAGTCAATAAATGCGAAAAGGTGTATAAATTATATTATGTTTTATATATGAAAGTAAAACATTAGCGCGCTTTACGGGATGACTGAAAAGCAACCACTCCTGAACCCAACATCGAAATTATCCAGCAATGACAATTCTGTTGAAGATTCGGGCAATGAAAATAATGATCAAATCCTTTCGAGCAAGTACGAGCGGACAATAAGATGAGTCTTTCATCATCATAATCATTATAATTCTTATAATAGGTTTAATTGGCGTCAACGCTCCGCTAGTCAAATCGATCGACAAAAATATAAAAACTTAGCTGATAACCAGGATGATTGTTACGCAAACAGCTTCAACAAAAAAACGTCCGTGACGCTAACTAAACTAGTAAGTACCACGAAACAAAAATATATAAGACATATGTGATCTTTAGCAGTTTGACTGAAGTGAAAAAGCATCGTAGTCGCATCGACCTTTCAATTGTCCCTGAATTGAAACAAGTTTTTGAATGTTATCCAAGAAGTCAAGATTTCAGGAGGGCGCGCATAAATGCATAACGACAGTTTATAGTGTTTACTTGTGTGAAAAAGAAAGTGAACATGTAGGCAGAACGAAACTCTTTGCGATTGTGAACATAAGTGAATTTTTCTTGAATATGATAACCAAGCGTGTATGATAGCAGAAACTACTGGTTTATGTCTTTTTATTGCTCACTTCTCCACACAAGTAGATGAGCATGTAGAAATGTAATATATCCTGCGTTGAACATTACAGTTATGAATGCTGAGAATTCTACCATAGATAATGACCGTGTTCGCGGTTAATAATCAACCCTTTAAACTTATTAACTTTCATATAATATTCCTCGTATTTTTCTTGAAAACCTTACAGAGTGAATGGTAAGAAAGTAAAAATTGTGTCTGTTTTTCGTAAATCAAGTTCGTATTTATAAACTTTATATGGACAAAATCATTTTCATAGCGGCGTGATACCGCAAAGCTTTCGGTACAAATGTCTCTACAAAGCGAAGTCTCCAAAAACTGATTTTTGTACATACGTATGCTAACGTTAACTCTAGATCACTTCCCCACACAGACTCATTTTTGGTGTTACAAACCTCTCATATTCATTTACGCGTTTGTCACCAGTTTATAAAGTTTAGTTTATTCGTATGACTGCTGAGAAATGTAAGGATACACTATAAGATAAGTAATGTAATTCTGATGTGTATCAGGCAATAATTGTGATTGTAGTGGGGTCGAATTCATATCTGTACATGGAGATATGGTCGAATTGTTTGTGCATCTGTTAGGATGAAATTTCTGGATTGTAAAATGTGCATGGCTATGAGCGAAAGTATTTATTTAAGAAATGATGAAACTATGAAATGTTTAGTGAGGATATTGTTGTTTGCTGTGGCGATAATTTCTTATGAACAGCTCAAGGGGATGACAAAGATACTCCAAATACTCTAATGCTTCAAAAATCATTTCGTAGTACGATAGAGTTTTGCCAGAGTACCGTGAAGGATCGTGGAATATAATGAAGTGCATATAGAGTACTCTTGGAGTATCATCCGTGTATTGTTGGAGTACTGTGGAGCATCACTGAAGTATTGACGTATTGGAGTATCGCTGTTTTCCTCTTGCTTTCAATCATCTATAATTTGTCAAATATAATATGTTTTTCTTTCTCGTTCTATGCAGGAAAGAAGACAGATACTTGTATAGATCACAAGGCTGTTATTTATTTCTTTATTCTTTTCTGTCGAAAACAAAACCGCCGAAAAATAAACATCTCGAG